CCCGCCTGTATTCGCGTTATTAGCGGTCTTTCTCTCGTAGAGGGCTGGAGAGGACGTACGCTACTTCAGCTGCGGGCACGGGTGAGGCGTGTGTGGATAGTACGAAGGTGGAGATGGTGAAGAGGGTGAGTGTGAGGCGCATGGTCGGTATGAGTAAGAGTGAGCTCGAAGCTTGTGTTGTAGGTGGATGGCGTTGGGACGCTACAGATGCTGCGAGTAGAAGGGGAGGTTCTTGTATGAAGATCGTGTGCATTTTGGTGTATGACTATCGACGTAGGAACGCCGAGGGACGCGCGCTCTTGACTCCTTGCGGCGGCGGGTTCGCACTGCGTTCGGGAGCAGAGTACGATGTCCATCTACTGTCTTATATTCGTTCATACTGTAGCAATCTGCGGGACGCGAACATATGTTTGAATGGCACGTAATCCTGATTCGACATCGAACTCAGCGGGAGGCTACGAGCAGGTTCGACTATGACTACTACAAACAACGAGCGAGCCACACATCACTTGTCTGGGAACGCAGCACCCCCCGCGCCCGATACCGTGCTAGTAGAATGCAAGTCAGCAACTCTAGGATCGTTATGACAGGCAGTCATGCAAACGAACCTCTACAGCTTCCCAGGACCGTGACTGATCATGTAGGGCAATTTTGGCCAGGGCGAATAAAGATTCCACACGCGCCCCGCCTAGGTAGAACACGCTCTGGTCACTATGCACTCATTCGTACGAAGAATGGCATTGCTTACTTGATCTCGGCAGGGAGCACGGGTGAAGCTCGTACGGCTAGCACGAGGGCGCAGGTGGTGAGGAGGGTGAATGTGAAACGCATGGTCGGTACGAGAGTGAAGGTCTGTTGCGTTGTTGGTGGGAGGAGGCGTAGGGATGCTGCAAGCGTCGCCGTTACTTAAGTAAAGAGACATCTTATACGATGAGCGTGTACAAGATGATGGCCGACTATCAACAGAAGGACGCGCAGGGACGCGCACTGTCATCGCGCTGTCGACCCATCCTGACGGGTTCGCACCAGGTACAACTCGGAGAGCATCGAGTGATGTCGACTCTACATAGGGATTCTCATATACATCCGCGGGTCAGCTAGGTGCGGGACGCCGGCAACCTTATGTATAGGATACGGTGATGAAGGCGGGAAGCTACGCGAATTGGTGGCGGATGGCAAGCGAGCGCTGTTCGCAGCGTGGGCGCGTTCTCGGGTGTACGGGCCGCTCGCGCGAACCGCGACGCGACGCGTCTCCTCTGTCCTCAGGCACTGCGCTCGGGAGTAGTGTACGATGTCCATCTATACTCTCATTCGTTCATACTGTAGCAGAATGCGAGACACAAGCATATGTCCACATGGCACGCAGTGTAGTACAACGCCGTGATCCGACATGAACTCGGCAGGAAGCTTCAAGCAGAGCCGATCGCGTTGAAGTACGACTCAACAACGATCAAGCCACCCGTCGGAAAGAAAGCACTTCCCGTGTCTACTAGTACGGTGCAAGTCAGCCACTAGGATCTATCTGACATATAGTCATCCAAACGAACCTCTGCAGCTTCGCGGAGATTGAGGCTAAATAATGCATTTGCCCGGAGGGCCAGATCCACACGGTGGCCCGGTCGGTATCCTTGTCGCTTCGGCCCGCCTATGTGTTACACGCTCCTGTCACTATGGAATCATTCGTAAAAACGGCGTTACTTACTTAACCTCAGCGGGGAGCACGGGTGAAGCTTGTACGGCCAGCACGAGGGCACAGGTGGTGAGGAGGATGAATGTGAAGCGCATGGTGGATATGGGAAGGCTCGCTCGTGGTGGACAAACTACAGGCATCTCGGACTCATAGACAGGTTCTTATAGAGCGAACGTGTACATCCTTGTCTGAGGGTGGCTGTCAGCAGAGGGACGCGGAGGGACGCGCACTGTCGCTGTCAACCCTCTACGACGGCGGGCTCGCACCAGGGAGGGTGCGGGTGCCGTAGATATAATGCTTTCTCTGAAACTGCTCTACTCTTTCTCATGTTCATGCACAGTATAGCAAATTAAGGGATGCTAGCATATGACTATATAACGGGCCGTGTGGCGCGGAGTCCTGATACGACGTGAAGGCGGGAAGCAAGTTGAACGTCTCGCAGCCGGCGCGGGAATTTGATGCGCTTGACCCGGCGCGTCCCGGAGCCAATCCGCGACGCGTCTGTCTCACTTGCTCGCAACGACCATGGCAAGGCACCCTGCCTGCCCTCCGTCCTGCACTCGACTGGGTAATTCCACATCACCATATAGATGGTGTCTCCGCGGCGGGTCGGCTCTCGCGCTCTCTCCCCTCTCCACGCCATAGTCTGCAGGAATGGTACAGAGTGCGCGGGGCTGGGTACGATTCGGGAGACCCATCTCTGCCTCTCCCCACACCCATCCATCTCGAAGACCCTTCGCTGATTGTCATTTTCGTAGGTCTATGATTCCTAGGACCTTGGTCGGAGCAATGATTGTGGTGAGTAGTCCCTTGTCATGCTCGTCAACGGTCTCTACGGCGGAGTCGCGCCGCACTCGCTATCACAAAATTACCGACAAAGCGCAGTCCGGCCGCGGAGCCATTTATATGACTTCGCGGTCGGCTGGTGCTCGGTGCGGGTTTGTGCGGGCTGGCATACGTGTCGGGAGACCTCTCCATTTTCTGTCGCTTTTGTCTCCGTATCTGTATGCTGACTTTACTCAGTCAGGCAAACAGCTTGCGTTTGCGAGCATTCCGGAGATTGAACGGGTTTGGAACAGGTGGCGGTGCTGCTGAGGTTACGTGTAGTAGAGTGAAGTGTATACATAGAAGTATTATTTGTATGACTATAGTATGCACAAATAGCTTGGCGAGACGCTCGCTTCCATCATGGATCGCTTATCTGCGAGCTCATGAGCTTTGCAAGACTCATCTGGCATCCCTATACCTTCTGAGGATCAAGCCTCTCGGGAAGTGTCGTGGCGCAGCAGCGCTGTAAGTTGGTAACTACAAGCCGGCGGCGCGGGAATTTGATGTGCTCCACTTCGGGCTGGGCGCGACTTGAGCGCGACGGCGAGACACGTCTTCCTTGCGACCATCATGAGGACTTTTTGCCCTCCCGAGCACGAGCATAGTCTACACCGCATTAAGCGCGCATCGGTCACCAGTACGCTCGAACGCGTACTGCACCTACCCCAACGCCTCAGCGCCCAGCAAGTCCCGTCGCCGAACCCTGTAAGCCATTTTCCGCGTCTCAAGCTCCCTTCCTCCGCGGCGGACTCGTACCCACGTCTGCCTGATTGCCTCCGTAACAGGCCAACAGAGGTGCGGCTTATGTCTCTCTGCGGGCCAGGCTGCTCGTTTGGGGCGAGATACGATTCGGGAGACTCCAGCTCGTGTTTCCATGCTCGTTGCTGACTCTTCCTCTGCAGAATGCGACCGCCGCAAAGCTGTAAGACCAATAACTCGAACGAAACTATCTACGTGAGTCATATCAAACTGTTTCATCGTACTATACGCGTACTGGGACGGTGCTCCGCGGCGGACTCGTTCACGCATGTAGCCAGAGCTGCCCTCCCACGGCCCAGTCAGTAGCTGAGCGCTGCTGACTGGGAGTGCCTCTGGGCCTGTCGTCATGTTGCGACGGGATATGATTCGGGAGACCATCCTCGTCCACACTTCCCTTTCCTTCTTCCCTTCTTCATCTTCCCTACCTCCAGTCTCCGCGGCGGACCTGCCCCGCAATCATGACCTTTGGGTTGTCCCTGGGCTCGTGAGCGTCTCCGTGGTGATTCGGCCCTAAACGGATCCGACGCTGTCGTCGGTACATTGTGATGGGTTGCAATGGGGCAGGATACGATTCGGGAGACATTCCACTCGCGTTGACCCATCATTTCTCTACCCGAGGCTAATGCTCGTTTTAGGTTCGGCCATACCCCATTTTCATCTTCCCTCCCAAGTCGAGTGCCCAACGATAGTGAGTATCATCATCCTTCACTCCTGGCTTGGTCTCCGCGGCGGACTTGCCCTATACCCAGCGGCCTTGGGTTGTCCCTGGCGGTACCAAACACGCCGTCGAGCTTCGATTCGGCATTCAGCTCGGCGGCGTCGTTGGTGGTCCAATGTGACTGGGTCAATGAGGCAGGATACGATTCGGGAGACTCATACCAAACCATCCCTTGATCTTTCTCGCATGTCTTCGACGTTCATACCCTTCGCAGGCACAACACGCCTCGACCCATCCGCCCGGCCATAGACTTGATAGGCGTATGAAAGTTGTGAGTATGTCTCCTACTCGCTTCTCTCATCGAGCCTCCGCGGCGGACCCATCCCTTACTCGAGCGGGCTCGTCTGAACCCTTTCGACGGCTGGCTCACGAGTCTGAACCGGCATTCAGCGCGCTTCGTCTGCGCTGGTTTGGTCTGCCATTTAGTGGCTCGAGTGAGGGTGGGATACGATTCGGGAGTGTGTCCTCGTTCTTTCCACTACCTTTCCTCCATCCCTTATTGACTATATTGACTATATATGTCTACAGGCCCATCGGTATCGCGATTACCGTACAATGCTTGCAAAGGTATGTCAGTTATCGTCGTCAGGAATTCGGGTCTCTACGGTGGATCATCTCCGCTCTCCGAGCGGAAGCCACTTCGGTCCCTTGTGCATACGACGTCGGCGACCTTAATCGCAGTTGGGCGAGAAGATGAATACGTGACGGGAGACCCCTCCGATCTTCCTCGTCTTGTCCGTCTGTGGATTCCCTTTACTGACATTCACCATCACTAGGCGTTTCATGTGCGATCAAAACATCCAGGCTTGTGGAAAGGCGCAATAGACGCCGAGAGTAGGTGAGCATCCTTTTCAGTTGCCATACGTTCCCCTGGCTATTCTGCAGCGGGCTCGGTTCCCATTCGAGCGGGTTCAGTTCAGCGGCTAGTTGTGTGCTAGGGCGCCGTCCGTGCAATTCTCTGCGTTCGCTTCTCTCGCGAGACCGCGTGCGATTGAGTGGCTTGTATGAAGAGGCTGGGACGATTGGGGAGATCGCCCACTATGCGTGCTTCACAATACACTTGCTGATGCTACATTTTGACAGATATTCACTGCACATGGATCGTTAGTTGACTATCAGCGATTGTACTGGTGAGTGCAGCTTATGGTCATCGGTGATGTTTTACGGCGGACCTCGTTCGCGCCCAGAATATTGGAGTGTGCCATAAGCCATCTACCCCAAGAGTGGCGGGCCGCCCGAGAGTCGCGGCGTGACGAGGATACGTGTCGGGAAATCCTTCCTCCAACTCATTGCCTACCCGCGATCATGACCACGACGCTCATAGCCTTCTCTTGCAGGTCGTCATCAGTTTGGCTCAAGCAAGCTATGTTTCGAAACTATCGTTTCGCTGATTCGCTGCGTGAGTTCTATATCCTCTCTGGGTCTATGTCAGTCTACGGCGCACCTCGACGCTGTTTCTTGTTCGCCTTACTGCCTTATTTCTCACTACACCTTCGAGACTCGTACTAACAACTCGTTGCAGTTCGCATGTATCGCACAATCAGCCGCGCCGGTCGCATGTTTCTCAGGTGAGCATTGTACCTTACATTGGCTTGCAAAGTTCAGAGCAACTCCACTCCTCCGCGGCGGGCTGGTCTCGCGCTCGCACCCGACAGGACTACATTTTTCTCATACTCCTCCCATATCATGTAGGACTGCATAGCGTTGCGCGGGGCTGGATACGATTCGGACCGTTGCATCCTTCATTCCTTACTGATATTCTGCCAGGTGACCAAGCGCAAACTACATGAACTCCCGTCGACGTTCGCAGGTGAGTGACTTGTCCGTTCTTCGTCACTCTTCCGGTTCTACGGCGTACTCCGCTCCCTCCCTGGTTGATATCGTCTGGGCGATTTCGAATCGGCTCATTCCGGCTTCCTGGTTTGGAGTCGAGGGTCGTTCCGGCCGATCGTGTCTGGCGAGTTGGGGCGGAGATGCGTGACGGGAATATCTTGTATCCCCATCGACCCTTTGCTGACTGCATGCTCCTAGGTTTCCCCTCATGCAATATATCGCATGACGACAGCCAGTTATTCACCCGAGTAGAGTACATCCGTGCTCACGATATGGTACGTTCGCTGTCACTTCTCTGCTCCCTTCTACGGCGGACCCTACACGTCTCTCCGGTCGGTGTGCTTTGCTTGGTCTATCTGCGATGTATCTCAGGCCAGGAACGTCAAAACCTGGATGTGTCGGGGGTCGACCGGCGGCGTTAACTGGTGTGGTGGATGGGGATACGTGTCGGGAAACTCCATGTGTTCATGCTACACTTGCCTGGATGCTCTCTCACGCTCTCGACTCATGCTGACTCTCTTGCCTAGGTCCCTGACATGCGATCGCGGTCCTATCCCTTAGCCATCTGTCTGTCGGAGGAGGCAGCCATGTACGTGCTCAACCGTCCTGGCTTCGAACAGTCTCGATCTCGATATTCCACGTCGGACTCCCGCCATGCTTCGACAGGCTGCTGCGGAGGCTGTGCCGTTCGTAGTTTCGGCGGCATGGTGTAGTACAGGAGATTGATGTGATGGCAGGGGATACGTTACGGGAACATCCCCTCAACCTCTCAACGAATCTACCTTCGGCTGTTGCTGACTTGCACTTTTAGGTCCTTGTCCTGCTCTACCGCGCAACCAGACTTGCATAGTCACCATATTAGCCTATATGTTTTTGGGGTGAGGTATGGTGAGTACATTACAATCATCGTCTACGGCGGAACACCCTAAGCTCGATAGACATGTTGTCACGGAGGCGTTCTCCTTTGTAGTCTTCGAGGGGTAGTATACGTGTCGGGAAACCACCCCCCCTTACTCTATCCATTTGGATAAGCATGGCTCAATTCCTGACAGAGGTCGCAAGCTGTTCGTTGGTACGATACTGAGTTCAATATAATAGACACAAACATCCAAATACATGTGAGCTATGGTACATAATATCGATCAATCCGCCGCGCAAGACTTGATGAGTGAGCCACCGTTGCAATGATGTACAATCGGTAGCCGCCGTGGCTATTCCTGGACTACAAACGCGGGTGCTTCGGCAACGGCTCGTTCTCCATTACCTCTATGTGCACCTGATGTACCTCCTCCTCCCACCTCCGTATGTACAAAGGTAGCTCGGTCTTCTGCAGTGCACGTAAACGCATTACAACGGCCTTCCTCGTGTCTTCATGGTTGGTCCAATCCCAACCGCAGTCAACCAGATTCTCAACAATCTTAGACAAGATGTCGGCCGTGTCCATGTGATGCGGAGGCCTGCTCAAGAACTCTGCCGGGTCTCCCTCCATCCAATTTGGCATTGTCGTTATCTTGGAACGGCGGAAGAGCGTCCCACCCAATCCGCCGGGGGCATCCCAGCTCTCGGGCGCTTGGAGGATGATCTTGTACAAGGCGATCGTGCGCATCGTGGGTGCGAAGCCGGGGTTAGCCTGCTGCTCCTCCATCTTTCGGCGCAGGTACTTGAGCTTCTCTACCGGCGAAGAGAACGTGTGTGAAGCGGGGATAATGGTGGTAGGAGGCGCAGGCGCCGCAGAGGACGCCGCGGCCGATGTGTTTATGGGGCGGGTCATGATCGTCGTCGAGGCGGGTTGGGTGAGGGTTGGATGGGTTTGAGTTGACTGATTTCCTCGTTCACTACCTTCGCCGTTTTATATCGCATCGCACAGACCACAGAAGGCAGAGATGCCTGACCACGCCGTGGTTGGAGGCTTGATTGTCATCTTTGTTGGAGTGTGGTTCGACCACAACACTATTGGTTGACTTCGGTACCCATTGTTGTACGCATGCAGAAGCGGCGAGGCACGAGCGTCTCCTTCCGCCGGGGTTCCAGGGAATGTTCGAGAGAATCGAGTCACCGAGAGAGAGATCGTGCCTCTCAGTTTGAGGAAGATTTTGCCTCGCAATGTAATTTGAGTCGGCGGGTCCAACGCCCGCGCATAACTCCCTAGATGCGAGTGAGTTCCGTGTAACGCGTCGAGGATGAAAGGTCAGGTGACCGCGTTTCGGACCTGTCGACGCCAACTCACGAACAAGCAGCCGGTAGAGATTGGCTGGTACTGCTCCTCGTACCTCGCAAACTTAGCTGGTCACATGTACTCGTGTATATGTGTATGATCGTGTGTATCCCAAAAAAGATATACTGGCCGTCTACCAGCCTATGCGAGTAAGCTTAGATACAGCCGCGCTGAGTCTCAACCACGGCGCTCGGCCACTAGCAATGCGATGTGGGTAAACCCGATCGATGCTATGTGCGGATAGGATTACGTCTGTCTTTGTCAGGCGCAGACCATGCAGAGACCAAACCACAACCACAACCACACCGGTCCATATGAAAACCGAGGGTGGACGGTCGTAGGGAAAACCGCAGACTCTGCCTCCACCCGCCTCTCGGCTACCTTCATGTCGCTCGCACCTTTCGCCGGCAGGCTCCCGCCTCTCACTTCGCCCCAGACGTTCCGGGTGTACCTCAAGAATGATAGATTCCTCGAAAGACTCGTTCTACCTCAGCTTGACATCCTCCTCGATCATACGACGACATTCCCCCCGCATGTATACGCAACAGCGCCAATCCGCATTCATCGCGTAGATGACTTGGCAGAGGCAGATGTTGAGCTCGTGTGGGATGCAGAGACAAAGACGCTGGTGGTGTCTCCTCGCGAGAGCCCCGCCTTGTCCTTTCAGAGTATGAGCAACTTCCCGCCGACGTTCGACGAGAACAGCCTCCGTCAGCAGTATCGCGGCAAGGGAAGCCCGCTGCCACCTTTCGCGGAATATATCTACAACGCCGCGCGGGCGTTCGCCTTGCTGAAGCATCGCAACCCTCGTGATGGCCCCCGCGATATGCGCAGTGAAGTGGCGATCTGGGTTGCCCGTCTCGTACAAGGATCGGATGCTCTCCGGCGGTTACCATCGTGTGGAATGGAGGTCATCACAGACGTCGACCTCTTCATGCAGGAAAAAGGATGTGAAGTTATCACGCAGGAAGTGTATTCAGACGGAGGGCACGGCATCGTCGCGCACAACTACAACCCCAACGCGTTGTACGTCGCACTGGTCAAGATCCCTAGCATTACCCTCAAGCCCGGTGAGTCATGGCAAATGCTGCTTGAGTCGAACGTTGACTGACATCGATTAGAGATCTGCTATTGTACGCAGATACAGGGCGATGGCGGAGAGGCTCTGTTATTTCAGCGCAACGCCAGCGGCGAGGTGCTCGGTCTGCTTCGTTTCGAGGTGCATGCCGGGCAATCCTTCAACGTCGATATTGTGCTCGTGGTGTTCTCGTCGGAGCCGATTGACGACATAGACGACATGATTGCGGAAAAGAAGGTCTGGGATGCGATGAACGTGACATTCGTTTGTCACTCTCCGGACGACTCGGACACTGATACTATCGGGTACGGCGAGGAGGAGCAGGACATCACCGATGCGCTCGTCCGGAGCGCGAGAGACCTGAAGTTGTAGTCGCGGATGCGGAGGCGCCGTGATGCGCCGTGGCAGTACTGCGTTTGGTTTCGATGGCAGTATGCCTTTTAGTGGTATCGTCGGATTGTATGCAGACACAATTATGTCACGAGTCGTATCTCGGAATGACAATTGGGCGTATGCCAAAGCCACTGGATATGTCGTAGACTGTGGGCATGATGGTCATCTGTGAGAGTCGCAGCGCGTCCGAGGCTCCGAGCCCACCGGCCCGGCGACACCATCGCCGCGTTGAAGCGGCTTCAGACGTTGCTCTAGAACCGCGATGTGCATCCTGCTGTCGACTGGCACCCGGGATACCACTCTCTATATATAGACATTCGTTTACACGCTCTCGCCATGCCATTGGCCTCCCCTGCAATAGCGTGGGCTTGCTATAGCACTCGGCGAAAGAAAACTCAGCACTTGCCCGACGCATGAGGACGCATGGCCGAACTGGCATCAACTTGAGCCTCAACGGTTCCTCCGTCAGAGTCAACATGTAGGATGAAATCGATGAGATGTTATTGACGACTGCTCGGTCATAGGGTCGCGAGCGCAGACGAGCTCATAGCAACACGCGCTTCTTAGTTCATAGCAGGGAGGAAATCTTACGATATATAAACATCCGGAGCAAACAACCCGTACTCAGCTTCGGGTCTGTCTTCGCGTATTTCGGAAACGACTCTAGCTCACGCGAGAGTCTGGCGAGGGATTTGATTTGGTGAGTGGGAATTGGTAGAACGTCATCGAGCTACACCAGCTCACAATCCTGGCACAGCGGAGAATCGACGGGATATTCGATAGCGCGCGCGCGCAGTTCGTCAGCCTTGTTCCATCCACATCTCTCGTTGCGCGCAGTACTTTTCATCATTAACCTCGGAAGTCGGAGACCCTGCCAAGGTTCCGTTCGAACGCCCTCGCCCGTTCCAGCTCGACGTTCACCATCATCACTCTCGCGAGTGCGCAACTTCGAGTAACTCACCCATTCCCAATATCGCTGGGATCGGCGCTCGATGCTTAACACAATCCACCTCTTTCTCCTGCAGGGCAGTTACAGGTGTAAAAGGATATGCGCTCCGAGTCCTCACTGTCTATGGCGGCAGGTACGAAGCTCAGCCACGTACCGCAACCATGCGACGCGGGTCCCTGAGGGATAGACTTGCCGCCGGCCCCTGGAGACTTGTCGAGCATGAGGTTGGTCCGAGCCTCGCATTGAGCAATTTAGGTCCTCGGGATGCCACTGCTCGTACCGTTCCGCGGTTGCTGCGTCACCCGCGCCGAGGTCGACTAGCAGTATAAAGGTCATCGCAAAAGTGCCTCGGGTTCCTCAGGCTTAGCCACCTTTCGGGTTTTTACTCCCTCGTCTCGTCTCACCGGTTCTCAGATTGCTGACTCTCTCTTCCTCTCTTTGCTCCTACATTCCTTTGTGCAGCGCACTCGCGTTCTTTCTGACCCTCTAACACGTCCCCCGTTCGATCACTCTTCATCGCACCAAGATGTTCGCCGCTAGCGTCATTTCCGCTCTCATCGCCGCCTCTGCCGTCTACGCGCATGGTAACATTGACGAGGTTGTCGTCGACGGTACCGCGTACACCGGCTATCTGCCCTACCAGTAAGCTCTGTATCACTTTCACATCGGAGACACCTTACTGACCTCGCTCAGGGACCCTTACACCAGCCCTACACCCGACCGTGCCGAGCGCAAGATCCCTTCGAACTCTCCCTGGAAGGACATCACGACCTCGGACCTGCAGTGCAACACTGGTGGCGAGACTCCGGCAGCTCTGACCGTGCCTGTAGCTGCGGGCTCCGTGGTGAACGCTCACTGGTGAGCATCATTCTTCTCACGTCAGTGCGCCAAGCTCATGGTTCTTTAGGACAACTTGGCCAGACAGCCACAAGTGAGTGCCCTTGCAGAATCCATTCCTGTTCAATATGTGCTGACCATCGTCTAGGGGGCCTGTCATCACCTACCTCGCCCGCGCGCCTGACGGTACCGATATCACTGCCTGGACTCCCGGCGATGATGCCGTCTGGTTCAAGATCGATGAGGCTGGCTACGACAACGGCAAGTGGGCCGCGACAGATGTCCTCATCAACCAGAACTCTACCTGGCCGGTGACGATTCCCGCGAACCTCAAGGCGGGCCAGTACATCATGCGCCACGAGATCATCGCCCTTCACCAGGCGGGCTCATACCCCGGTGCCGAGTGTATGTTATTCATTGCTCACTTGCTACGTCGCCTTTTCACTCATCAGCCTATCTCCAGTCTATCCTGGTTGCTACCAGCTTGAGGTCACTGGCTCGGGTACTGCTCTTCCGACGGAGGGTCTTGTATCCTTCCCTGGCGCTTACTCTGAGACTGATCCTGGCATTGTCTTCAACCTATACACCGACTTCGACTCGTACACGATCCCTGGCCCCGCAGTTTGGGACGGCGTCTCTACGGCCATCGGTAGCAGCTCTGGCTCGTCCTCTTCCGCTGCTTCCGGTGCCTCGTCAACCGCCGCCGCCGCCACAAGTTCCGCTGCTGCTGCGACTAGCTCCGCTGCTGCTGCAACCTCTGCGGTCGAGACGTCGTCCGTCGCCGCTGTCACATCGAGCGTGCCCGCCTCGTCTTCAGCTGCTGCATCCTCGGCCGCTGCGACAACCTCGGCCGCCGCGTCTTCCGCTGTTGCGACTTCCTCCGCTGTTATAACATCGTCAGCGGCTGTGTCATCTTCGGCAGTCGCAACGTCATCTGCGGCGTCCCCGACGTCCAGCGCCACCGTCAAGAATGCCAATGTCTGCATGAACGAGTACAACCAATGCATCGCAGCCTCTCAGCCAAACCCGGATTGGACCGGATGCACGGTTCGTAGTTTTTTTACAAGTACACTGGATGGATCACTTACGCTGCTCTCCAGGCTACCAAGGACACTTGCATGGAAGGCGCAGTTTACATGCGCGTCAAGCGCTCCGGCACGCTCGGCCGTCGCGTTTTCTAAGCCACGAGTCCATTTCATCTCTACGTCGCACGCTGGTATGACGTCTCGAGGGCGTCGCCGTGCGATCTTTCCTCTTTTACGAGCTTCGCGTCGACGCGGGGTTCCATCATCTCCACTCTATCTCAGTGCTCTAGTAGGATACATTGGCTCCTGCTTGGTTTTACGGATCTTTTCAATTGTAAGAATGTGCTGGCAGAGACAACAATCAATCGGTTGATTTGCATGGATGTGAGAACGAGAAAGCGGGGTCGTTCCGAAAGGGCGGGCTGAGTCGGCCCGGCGACGCAAACGCTGTCGCCTGGGAAGGTTGACACACTTTGAACCTGAACTTCATCTGATACACCACACCTTCTCTTACATCTATGCCAGACCCTGCAGCACGTAGCCTCGCTGTAGGCGAGAACAGGCATGCCTACACAGTCGGCCGGTGCTGAGACCCTGAAAGCACGCCACGGGCCATCAGATCTCAGATATCGTTCGGGCTACATGATTCTGCCCAAGACGGTCATCATCGCCGGCCAACCATCGGTGCGTATCGGGTGCGTACTGTGCGTGGTAGTCGTACAGAGCCCTAAAATGGCATTTGTCATAGATCTGTGCCGGTTCATCTTGTAACAAAGGGATGAGGCAATTTCAAGCTGAAGATGAATTCTGGTCAACATATCTAGAGGCTGCGCGCGAGGAAGATGAATGGCGCCCAAAGGATTGGGATGGGAATACGGGAAGTATCCTTACATTTGTAAGCCGGTTATCTCCTTCTGGAACGATCAGTGCTGATCATACGATGTCTGTAGACCGGTCTCTTCGCAGCGACCGTAGCGGCGTTCGTAATCGAAAGCTATAAGTCTCTCGCGCCAGACTCGGGCGACCAAACAGTGGAACTGCTCACACAGTTACTCGCAGTTGCTACGAACGGAACTTCATCTTCATCCCTCGGTGATATCGCGAGATCGCCTCCGTTTGCGGCGTCGACTTTGGACGTCCTTGCAAATGCCTTCTGGTTTTGCAGTCTCTCTGTATCCCTCGTCTGCGCGCTTCTGGCTACTCTCATTCAGCAATGGTCTAGAGACTATGTGCGGGATATCCGACGCAAGCAGACCCTTGACGAGAGCATACGCGGACGAGCATTCAACCACATCTATGTTCGCATGGGTGTCAACCGTTATGGCATGGACCAGATGGTGTCCTGGCTTGTCGCTCTCGTTCATCTTGCTGTTGCACTTTTTGCTGCGGGCCTCTTTCTCTTCCTATACTCGATTAACTCGCCCGTCGCTATCTGCGCGACAACGGTCCAGCCGTGGTAGGCGGCGATTAGATAACTGCTCATCAGTTATAAGGGCGAATAGATAATCCGCCGATACCTTAGTTTGCCAGATTCAGCTGTATGGAACTTGTTCACGACCCCGAAGGTGCCTCTGGATGTCCAGCATGACAGAGGTACACGGATGGGACATTCTGCGCCAATCCGAGGGATGAAAAGGTACTAGTACTTACGGGGCACCGGGTAGTCCGGTGATTAATCGCTGATTACCCCGGCATGATGAAGTGATCCCGATTGATCGTGTTTGGCATTGAATCAAACCCCTTCGGGTGTTCGCGGCCCCCCTGTGAGTGTTTTCAATCCTTGGATGATCGAATCACCGACGAGTGCTTGAATCGCCGAGCGCTGTGTTGAATCGTGTGGGTATTGAATCGCGCGCGGCGGCGCGTTGAATCGTGCAAGGAAGCGCGTTAAATCAAGGCGGTACAAATGCAACGCGATTGATCGCCTACGTCCTCTTCGAATCACCGAAGAGTCTTGAGTCGCCGAGCACTATGTTGAATCGTGTGGGTATCGAATCGCGCGCGGCGCGTGTTGAATCGTGCAAGGAAGCGCGTTGAATCGCGGCGGTACAAATGCAAAGCGATTGATCGCCTATGTCCTGTTCGAATCACCGAAGAGTACTTGAGCTTCGTCTGCTCGGAGGGTTCCCTACTCCCTGCGGGTTGGGTTAACGTTAGCATCAGCCGATGCGAACACGGCGTGAGGAGCGACGTTGCAAATCAAAATCCAGGAAATCGCAAAAGTGACGTTGCTGGGGCACATCGAGCATCTCAAGCCCAGTTGAGGATGGTGGAAGTATAACATTTCGCAGTGTATCATGTAAGAAAGTAATATTGGTAAATATTTCTGCAGGTTAGAGGAAAGGAGCGCAGGATCGGTCGGACAGACGACCGAGCTGGCCGTTTTGGTGCCACTCGCGGAGCTGATGCCGATGGCGGTGCTGTACGTCGGGCTGGCGGTGCCAACGGGACGAATCCTCGCGGCGCGCTCCTCTTAAATCTCGTCGTCCGTCTGCGCATGACCGATACCCGAGAGCGATAAGACAGAATCGGCAGCAGGGTGACCGTACATGAGGCCGCCGTACTGGTCAGCCCATAGCGCGGTCGAGCTATCGGGAGCAAGAGTAGGCGAGCGCGTCTCAAGCCATCTAAGGTGCAAGAATAAATACACGAGCGCCAAATCGGGGAGAAGAATGAGTGCGAGCGCTCACCAAGACGTCGTTGTTCGGGCTCGCGCGCCTACCGGCGCTGGGCGTCTCGCCGGGGCCGCTACCGTGGCAAGCGTTATGGTGCGAGCGCTTGCAGATCGCGTCCGACTTCATGCCGTTCGGGTGCGCGGAACCGTGCAACTTCTAGCTGCAAGAAACGCATAAAGATCGGCAGGTCAGATAGAATGGACAAGAAACATACGCACTAAAGGCCGCAGGCGTTACAAACGGTCTTGCCCTCTTTGTCTTTACGCCACAGCCGGGTGGCGGTTGTGTGGCAATTGTAGCACTGCACGATGAGGATCGCCTGTTAAAATCCAGGGATATCAGTATCATGGCTCAATCAACGGGTGTCGTTCGCAGGATAGAGAAGGTCAAGGAATGACGGCGGATCAGGGTGCCGTGGGGAATGAAGACCGTCTAAGAGGTAAGAGAATCTCGTAGAGCAGGACACTACAACGTGTATGACAAAATGACGCGGGGCGCAAGGGAAACGCGCTAGGATAGCAGACGCATTACGTGCCCGACCAGCGAATAGCGGGCGGACACGGACGTAGGAAAACCAGGGTGTACGGCCCACAGAGATGGGATGCAGGGGAGGAAAGCCGGGGGGAGAGGAGATGTACGGACCTCGATGGCTTCGAGACGGGATCTACTGGTGATGCTTGCAGAGGCAGAGGCTTGACGACTGTCCGCCGGCTGACCGCGCATCGTCTCGGTCTTCGGGCGCTTTTGTGCTTGTGCAATTTGCAATAAAGACCACACCTATTTGAGACACAGCGTCAACGTCAAATGCGAAGTAATGTCAAGAACAGGAGCGCTTGGTGGGAGAAAACGCGCGCGTTACATTTGAGCTCGTCGTTGAGTCGGGGCCGACGATGACAACAATCTCGCCGACATGGCATGAACGTCCGTTGTGCACCTAAGGCTTCCAGCAACGGCCTCTGTCCTCGTAGACCTCCTGTCCGGCGACCTCGAGAACGCGGTCCTCGAGCGGGATTTCCTGCCCCTCCAGGTTTGACGAGCCTGAGCTGGTGTGCTGAGGGTTGATCTGCTGGTCCTGGAGCACAAGCAGGTGCCTCTCTATCTTATGGGATAGCTAGAGGGCATAGTTCTGTACATGCCAAGTCAGCGACCATTATTGAGACGTGTATAAGCGAGCTTACCATGTTGATGCCTTCGTCGAACGACCATCACGCTAAAACTCCTCTCGCCGTGCTTGGGGCGAGCGCTTCAACCGATACCGTGCGTCTCGTAGAGTGCAAGACACATCGTGCGGTCTTCGTCGTCGTACGAGCGCATACCATCGTCATTGATGAAGATGTTCGGGGTACCGCCCTGACGAACGTATGCCTGCTTGGCCTTCTTGAGCGAGACGACCAAGGGCATACTGCAGGATTACGAAGTGGGTATAAGCGCAACTGTTCGGTGACAGGGACAGGTATTGGGATACATACAGCATAGAGTCGGGACCCAGTGTAGACGGACATGACGATGGTGACGTACGGCGAGTCGGCGTCAACTTCCTTATTTGGGCGGGGCTTGACGGTGGAGTAGTACTTGGAAATTTCGTGGTAATGAGCGATAGGGCCGATGGCCATGGTGGCATGCTGGACGATCCGCAAGTTGAAGAACTAGACGCGCATGCGAATGAGTGACATCGTCTAAAAAGTCTAGTAACAAAAAGGAGCGTGCCATAGCGACGTAGAATAGCGATAGGAGCACGGTGGCGAGGTGTAGTCCCCGTCTGTCTCCATTTCGTCAGCAGCCAAACCGAGGAACATGAGAGCGTGAGTCATGAGAGCGTGAAGGCGGAAAGACGAGACAGCTAGGCGCTCAGCAACTCAGCACCCGCGCTTCGGCGTCCACGCGAAGGACGAAACGACAGGGGTTGATCCGGATACTTACAGATTTCCCGCGCTACGCGCTGTACTTGGGGTACCCACAAAGCCATAAGGCTATCTGATCACGCTTCATAACTTCTTTCAAGGCTGCGATGGCATTATGTGGACGAGCAGGGCAGTGACTGCTGAACATAACGTATGTATGAGAGTAAGGCGATACAGCGTATACAACAGCAGCAGGGAGGAAGGAGACGGTGATGATAACGGCAGCATAGGTAGTAGGCGAATGAAAGCAAGTAGGACGACATAGGTGCTTAGCGTGCCCGGCTGGCAGGTGCGAGATACCCATGGCTATATCATGGCCTCGCATGGCGAGGCGCAGCAACTGGGCAGTAGCGGCTCCTTGCGAACGAGGTGCGAGACGTAGGTGTAAGTACGAAAAAGGATGCGAGATGCAGGTGTATGACGGAGGGAATGGGGGTCGTACGAGTATGACTCAAGATGAGTACCCCACGGGACCGGCGGAGAGGGTGGACGTGGCAGAGGAAAACTGGGCAGGAGTGTTGGGTCATTGCACAAGAGCGGGTAGTGGCCCGTGCGTATAAGGCGCTGACGGAAGTGGCCGTACAGACATGGTGGGTGCGATGCGTGCAAGGTAGAGCGAACCGCGGCAATTCGCGCGCATGCTAGCTTCTCAGACCGCGATTTCTGCAATGACGAGTGCTAGCGCCGTAGTCCGCCGGGACCATCTTCGCATGCACGGCACTGGGGTAGCAAGAGACTCAAAGAAGGCATGAGGGCCGTACGTCGATAGAGCCGCTCGACTGGCGATTAATGGTAGACGGCCATACCCAGGCCACTGGCCTCGGGAGCGAACTCTTGCGAGAGGTGGTGAGAGAATGTGTTCGTCCGTCGCGGATGCACGAGGTCGCGGCCGTGGCGTGTCGCATACGCCCTGTCTAGAATAAGGCGCCAGGAAGCAGGTGTATGGGGTAGTGTGCGGTATCCAAGAAGACTGGAAGTGATCAAGAACATGATGCAGAAGTCTATGATATCATACTCACAGGAGGGATGCAATGACCTGCGTTAGGGCAGGACATACAGATTCACTGCTTATTGGGGTCGTAAGTTTGGTTTCGCCGTAGAACCAAGGCTAAGTAACCCCAATCAGACAGTGCCAGCCTGCTGCTGCTTGAGAAGCACTGTCTGTTGCTCGGCAGTGCTGAACATGAGCCTCTCGGAGAGCCTAAAAGCGATTCGTCAGTGTTCCAGTCCGATACGAAAATCGGGTTAAGTAAGTATTGTCAATCACTTGCGTAAACGTAGCGTCTCCTCCTCGGCGTGCTGGAGACGAGTTGAGAGCTGTATGTGGGAAATTTCGAGGTAGCGAATATGCGTCGTGGCTCTATCGAGTAGCGCGACCTTGTCTGACTTCTGGTTAGACACCGGGAGCACGTCCTTGAGCCGGCGGTAACCATCCCGAAGCTCGTCGCGGCGACGCTGCTCTGACTCGATACGCTGACGGCGAACCTCTTCGCGGCGGTCCATAGGGATCCCTGAGCTAAGAAAGGGAAGAAACTCTTGAGCTGAGATCATGTGGTAGCCAAGGCTAGTCAATATGGCTCTGAAATGGCTTCCGGAAGGATACGTGACCTTGCGTGGGAATCGACATCGGTAACGGCCGACACACTGTGCGCTGAGAACAGCGCGTCGAGCGCTTAACGTCGACTTCTATATATTCCGGATGTGAAAGATGCTTCATCAACCTTATCTCCCCTCTTACCATGTCGCACGCACCCGTTCGCTCGCCCTACCGCCCGCTCGTCGGGCCAGGAAATATCAAGGGCGTAGATCGCCGATACCCGTTCTTCAACGGTGGTGGACGCGATCCCGCCACTCTTCACTCCGGCATCGAGCATCGGATGCCCTTTTGCCTTCACGGCTGGGACGCGCAGTCGCGTCAGCCTGACTACATGAAGAACACGGAGCGCACGCTTTTTGGCTGCCGTGGCTACGTTAAAGATCACGAGATGGCGGACGAGTGGGACTGTGGATATTTGGAAGAAGGAATCGTCGACGGTGTGTGATAGCTTTTCCGATGTAGATCGTGTTCCAGTGCTGATAGTCCCGATAGTTGGTGTACAATCTGTACAAATCACCAATCCGTTCTGGGATGGTGGTTTGTGGCCTCCCCCGGACTTTAAACAATGGTATTACCGGAGGAGCAAAGTCATGGCCACACCGAAGTCTTCTGTATCCTCCTCGAACAAGGCGTCTTCGTCGTCCACTGGCACCTCATACCCCTCGCCCCAATCCAGCCCGTCTCGTGCTCGCTAGATATGTAGCATAGGTGAGTCATTGTGGTACATATAGCGGGTATGACTAATGGTGTGCTTTCATAGCGCAAGTCGGCTGGGTTGGGTAGCAATAAGGGATGGCCATTGCTTTGACGTAGGCCGAAGATGTCTGATTGCTCGTGTCCCGTACTTTGCATGTATCTTTCGTCCGTTTTTCAACTGGGATGTTACTCGGTGATGCATTGTTCGCGAGTGATTCTTCGATCATATTTTTCGTTGATTCCACTCGTAATGACCGTACATTGCATATATATAACGTGTCTCCTGACCCTTATCTTACACCGTAGGTGTGCATGTCGAGCCTCGGAGAGCACATCTCGTTGTTACCCTCCAGGATGCTGGAAGCGGCGACCACCCTGCCAGAGGCAAAGATAGTGTCATGACGCAGCATCTCTTCCGGACAGCGAGTACGCCCTTTCTTCACAACGTGCACTGCACATACATGACAATCTTGCGCAGCTATCACTTTGAAAGGGGAGACATAACCCAGCAGCCCTCGTTCGAGTCCGAAAGCTTCGACTTGATGCATGCTGGTCTGCCATTCGTCCATGTGAGTTGTTTTGTCATCGACCATCCCATCTACAGCACTCATCGCTATGGCTATCCTGTGAAGGACCCCGCTGTTATCATCGGCCGTGTCGTATCGCTGCTCCCGTTGCATTGTGATTGAGCAGCCGGACGATCTTGACTTCGATCAAGACGGATGCCCGCGCGGCTCGGCTAAGTATGTCTCTACCATTGTTCACCAGGGCGCGGTCTTTCGTCAGCGTGGTCTCAATCTTGCATCCGGTCGGCGCCTAGGATGTCCATTTTAGTTGAGTGTTGATTTCCTTACGCGCATGCACCCGTGGTAGTCGCACAGACCGATGTCCGGCCAAGGCGCGGCCGACGCAACCGAGGCGCGGAAACGACCGACGCGTCTTTCCCAGACTACATCCGGTGCAGCCTTTCCAAAGTCTTCTTACACACAACGGCCACCTGGTACCGCGGCCCCCGTTGAACATGAACCTATCATCTTCTAATTGCAGTGCTCCCAACATTGCAGGCGACCCGCCGCTTGATCTCTCGCCTACGCTGAGCACACCGTCCACCGCACCACCTCCCTCATCGCGCGCGTTCTTACTCGACCAATGAGGGTTCCCTCACATACGCTCCATCTGGAAATGGACCGGCGCACGATATCGAGGAGCTTACTCGGTGGTGGATAGACGTGCCATGTGCTCATAAAGCACTGGACGCGATCGCTAACTCTCGGGAGGTCAAACGCGCACCCGCTTTGCTGAGTGCGGTGGGTAAGGCGCTAAGATGATCAGCTTCTTGATCAGTACAGGTGATTGAACGGGAAGAGTTCGAGCATCTGTATAGTGTTCCAGGTTGTAATGCTTACAAAAGCCATGCTATCACTAGCCTCGACAAGATCGACAACACGGACGATTACGGGTACGTGTCCGCGCTCGTCCTCGACATAGCCGAGGCGATCCTCTCCCCGAACGAGCTGCCTCTGCTCGTGAAGACCATTGATTCTTTGAAGAGCGGGACGCGTACAGGCTCTACAACAACAGTGCCAAGTCAGCGCAGAGTGCGAACTTCCAAGTCGGCATGGTCGTGTACGTCTCTGCTTGACCTGTCATCGTGGGGTTCAGTATTGATGCGTATCGCGGTGCAGGAGCTCGGGCGATGATCTCGTGTTTAAGCTCACTGCTCATACCTTCAGCACTAGCATCGAGGTCGTCGACGTCCTCTTCTTCTCCTTCGGATCGAGTTCGGTCAGCTTCCGCGCGGGTGTGTCCTTACCCCGTGACCTGGCAGAAACCAGCCATGCTGATAGAGTGCGTCAGGTTATCAGGCCATGACGCTTAACAGTGGCTTCTACGTCAAGGTCAGAGAGACCGTCCTTGAGAAGTTTGGCAACGCCGTCCAGGACTTCATCGCGAGCATCAACCTCGGTTGAACGCGGGACGGCGTAGTGATTCGTACCTGCCCAGTGGCAGTCTTTCCTTTATCTCAGAATAGCGCGCGGTGAACGACCAACATCCATCGAATGATTATGTGGTTCAGGTTTTGCAGTAGCTTCTGTTACCCGAAATGCCATGAAAACTGTGTGCCGATACCCCCGTGCGATCCTTGCATGCTCCGTACGACCGGGTCGGGACGACTTCAAAAGCTAAACTGATCGCCAACCATAAGGATGTCTGTAGTAAAGGGAAGCCAGATCTTGCTATATACACGTCGTGAAGATGGTGGACGTCGAAGCCAACACTCACGACGCGCTCTAAGTCTCTGTTCACGCGCGCGACGACCATCGATCGGCCGACAAGTTCGATCTGTTCCCAGCATCCGAACACACTCTTACACACCGCACCTCGACTCCACGCTCGCACAAGGAGCTCTGACCGACAACAGCAACTCAGCATAGAAGAGAAACAAGCTATAAATGAAGA